GCTTGTATGTATGTGTACATGTAGATGTACATACTTGTACACATGTACATTGTACACAGTAAATACAGTACACAGTAAATACAATACATAGTAAATACAATACACAGTAAATACAGTACATAGTAAATACAATACACAGTAAATACAGTACACAGTAAATACAATACATAGTAAATACAGTACATAAATGTGTGCATTCAATGTTTAATAGACAAGATGCCAGTCATATTTGAAAATAGGGAAGAGTGAAATAATAACAAATTGTTCACTTGAGGTATTTTGTAAAGGCGGCCGGTAAGAGCAGCTGTTGGTTCTGATACTATTGAACAAGAGCCCCCGATAAAAGCGATTATCTTAGTTTCATGAGGGACGTCGGTGTCAAGTATGGACTTTATCAGCTGCCAAGTTCCTTCGGAAGGATCACACTGGAAGGAACGAGAGAAGAGATATCGTTAATGAGGTAATTAATCTAATAATTAAACTAATAACATGAAACAGTGCTAACTATATAATTATAAATATAATAATATAATTATAATAGCAATTATTTTTAATGAGTCACACATGCACAATTGCTTACACAACATAATTACTGACGTATGACTGAAAATAATTATATTAAGAATGTAAGAGTAAACAAAGCAGTTCCTGAGCCAAATTTCAATTTACGCTACCGACGGATCATAACAATAATAATTAATTTCAAATATAATTCATTTATATACTAGCAGACCTTTGTATCAGATATATTAGCTGTGAGCGTGTAGTTACTCAGTATATGCGAGGCGTTATTCACATCGTCCAAGGCCATTAACATAGCCGGAATGACACCTCCGTCCCAATACGTGGGGTTCTTCTCCGCTGGTACTAGTATCTGTAGGCGGAGAGGGGTCTTGTTGGCGTTTCCATCTGTTTGTATAATGGAGGAAGAGAGAAGGAGAGAGGAGAGAAAGAAGGAAAAGTACAGCATCTTTTCGACGGCCAAGATGATTATTGGACCGGTTAATTGACCACGCCCAGCAATTATTTATATTAACCACAGAGCTTTCTACTGCGCGTGCGCAAAAGGAAGCCCATTCAATGCATTGAGAAAGTAGGGTTTCCAACAAAAAAATGAACTTTTTCAAAACTGGATTTTTAGTTACTCTATAAGCAGAAAAACATACAGAAACTATCCTGGTTAAATATCAAGATCCAATACCTTTTCGTTTTTGTCCAACAACTAGTGAAAAATTATCATTTTCAGTGG